TTACTCTTGCGTTTTGTCTTGACTCCTTAGACACTACATGCGCTATTCCCACTACACACACACACACACACACACATATAGTCTCGTTTTCGTCTCCGCAGCTTTGTTACCTGTCCTGTTAGATTCTTGCCCGGTTTCCCATCGTTAGTTTGTTTGCTTACCTGTTCGTCCCGGTCTCCATTGTTGTCACTACCTTTCCTTTGTTGTAAGTATTATGGACCCTGTTTTTGTTGTTACGTTGGCTTTGTCTTGCTTTTTCCCCCATTAAACCTTTGTTTTGCACTAGCACCTGGGTCAGCAATCTTGTGTCCTACCCCTAGTCCTCCCTCACCCTCCTGGCGAGGGGGGCTAACCCTAACACTGGGCTCTGATGGACCCTGAAGATTTCCAGTATATTACAAAACCATTGAAAGGCCTGAATAAAAAGGTGTACGAAGACCTGTGCAAAGAATTTGGCAGTGCAGATTTGGTGCTGTCTCAACTGTATTGGCATGAAACAGCAACCGAAAATTACTTCGCCTCCACTATCAAAAGTCACTTTAAAGAGACACCAAAGAGATGCTGCGCCATTCGCAGGTTCTTTACTAATGTGTGGAAATTCATCCGAAATCATTGAGTCGTGGGACTCTTGACACTTTCGGGACTTTTGCTACATAATTGTAGAACTTGACAGAGAACGCATTCATTGTGACATGCATGGTAAAAAAAAAATGCACCTCAGCGGGTAGCAGTGTATGTTCACAGCTTCAGTAAAACACAAGGATTTGGCTTTAACCTGACTGCGAGCTTGCCACCTGCCTACTGTGGTGTTGTGGGTTTCCTCCAGGTGCTCTGGTTTCCTCCCACATTAAATCATGCAGCAGTTCGGCATACTAAATTAACCGATTGAACTGATTGATCAAAAGCTGATTAGATAAAAACACGTTAAGAGTGTGCTTAATGTATGATGAAATTATTTTTATAAAGAATAGTATCATGAAATTAAATTTCTTGGTGTCATAATAGATGATAAAATCAGAAACCTCACATAAAACATGTACAAAACAAATTTTCAAGAAGCATTTCAGTATTAATTAAAGCAAAGCATCTTCTGGATCACAAATCACTCCACATTCTTTACTGTTCACTTGTATTACCATGTTGAAATTACTGTGGAGAGGTTTGGGGCAACAACTACAAAGGTTCACTGTATTCACTGGTCATTTTCCAGAAAAAAACAAAAAAACAAAAAGAATTATTCACAAAGTCAGATATCTAGATCACACAAACATATTGCTTTTAAAGTCAGAATTACTCAACTTTATGGATCTTGTGGTGTTAGCGCGGTTACGGAAACAAACCCCCCAGGACCTGGGGTTATGAAACCCCGGGTTGTGAGGGTCTTATAGTAATTATCTATAGATAATTAACAGATAATTATTTAGCCCTTTCCTCTTTTTTGTTTCTTCTGTCTCTGTTTGTACACTCTTCCTCACTTTCACTCTCCTCAAGCTCCCTGTCGGAAGGAATGAGCCTAACTGCTGGATCATGTTCCTTACACCCATAAAATGTTCATGCATCCATTTCCTGTGAGCAATAGTAGATAGTACAGCAAAAAAATTGATTACGGTCATAACTATGCATCCCTGCACATGTCCATCAATGAGTATGTTATTGTTCAAACAGAAGTGGACTAACTGCACAATGTTGCCCTGAGGCAACGAATGAAAAACTTTCATTTTAGTATATAAATAAAGACAAAAAGTGTCTTTACTCAATCAAATATGCTTTTTCACATGTTCATCATGCACATCACAGATATTACTTATACAAAGTTATTTAAATTTAAACATGTTAAAAAGTGAACTGTATCTTACTTTCTGCTAGCAGTGTGTCCTAGCCAGCTAGGGTCCCAAAGAGGACAGTTTCACCCTCAGACGAAATGTCAAACCCACACCCACCTCAAATTTGATTGGTCACAGATTTATCATCAGACTTTTAATGTGATGTTTTACTTTAAAAACATTTAAAGGGGCAATGTGTGGGCCCAAATAATGGTTTGTTGCCTGAGGGCAACACCTTGCCATAGAGGCTTAATTAATGCCATTTTAACAAAGCCAACACACCCACACACACAGAAGGAGTTTGGAATGGACTGTCACCACCCACTTTGCTCTCCAGTCAAGTCAGAAGTCAATTTTGATGAGAGGAGAAGAGAAGAGAAAAAATTACACACAGTATTCAATCTCCAATTTTCCTACATACCATCCACTGGTATACACCATATGTTACAAGTCTGGAGTTTGCATCTGTGCTTTTGCTGCATCCTGAAGTTATGCAGTTTCAATGCATTACTCACTGTCCCCACAATGCATTACTTTTAAAAGCAATATTCCCATGCTGATTATATGATTCTTTGACCATGAAAACCTACCCCTAGCAGTTGGAATCACATTGATATCATTAGTTTGATGAAACCATTCTGATTGTATAGAGATAGTGATCAGACAAAGACTTCCTGTAGATAATGAAGGTGGTCAAGACAAATCTGGCAACTTTATTTGTTTGGAAAGAGTTGAGGCAATCATCCTAAGGTTCATCTGAAGTTATAGGGTTATTATCTTTCTGCCCCTGTAGAAATCCCAGCAACAACCTTTAATTATTTCCTATCAGCTAGGCTATTGGAATGACCAGCCTGGAGACCGCCTGGTGCCACAGTAATGAGGACCATTGTGGAGCACAACAAATTGGGGAAGTCAACCAAACAGGACAAGTACAGACTTCAGCAAACAGTCAGGACAGCAGAAAAGATCATTGGTGTGAGCCTGCCCTCCATGGAGGACCTGTACACAGCACAGGTCAAAAGGAGGGCGGAGAGGATCACTGCAGACCCCTCACACCCTAGACACAACCTGTTTGAACTCCTCCCCTCTGGCTCTGGACGGCGTTACAGGTCGCTGTGCACCAAGACAACCAGGCACAGGGACAGTTTCTTCCCCCAGGCCATCATGTACAGATTATACAGACTCATACAGGTCTCTAGTTTTAAGTACCCTATCTTTATCCCTTATCCCTATTTATCTCATTTCAACAAACATTCCTTGTTGTCTGCATTGTTTACTGTCTGTTTATACTGCTTATTCTGCATTGCTTGCACTGTTTGTTGCTGTCAAAGTTGCTGTTAATACTGCTTATTTGATTATATTATACAGCCTTATGCTGGTTTACTGTTTGCACATTGAGCCGATGTACTGTACCTCAGTCAAATTCCTTGTGTGTCCGTCAGATCTGGCCAATAAAGCAGATTCTGATTCTGAAGTCTTTAAAATAAAAAAAAGTTACTCTCCAAGCTTTTCAAATTCAGACAGCCAATAATCTCCTTAACAAGACCATAATGTTGAGGGTGTGCATGGCTTAGTGTAACTGCTCTCAAATACAGCTCAGACAACATGGTTAAGGCATGATACACAATTGCAGTGCAAAGGTGACATTATACTAAACAGTGCAATCATATATTCAAAGAATTTATACAAAGCTAATGATTTTTTTTTAAATAAATGCTTTGAATGTGGCTCTTGACCTTCTTAACTGGTATGTTTATATGTATAATGTTAAACCAATAAAAAAGCAGTTACCTCACTAATGAATTATTTTACTCCGATGGAGAAAATGTAGTCTGAGTATGTTTGGATGTTTTGGCGTGGGACAAAGATTAGGAACACAGTATACAACAGCGCCGTCTATTGACCATATAGGCTACTAATCACACCGCACACAAAAATGTGAAATGCATGCTATTACAGAACAATTTTCGGTTCTACAATTCTATGCATTTTGAATATAGTGCAATAGTTGACATAAAACAAAAAAATCAAAGCATGCCTTAAAAAAATAAAAATAAAAAAATGACTATTCCCTGACCGGGAATCGAACCCGGGCCGCGGCGGTGAGAGCGCCGAATCCTAACCACTAGACCACCAGGGATGGCGGTATTACGATTTGTTGCTCTGGTAGATGAATGTATGTTTAATATGGTTTAATAATATGATTTGTTGAATTTGCTTATAAATCAGCTTTATTTTTTTAACCATGACCCTGGCCGGGGGGCAGGGTGTAGGAGGCTTAGACACAAGTAAGTGTTGTTAGGACTTTAAGATTTAAAACACAAAAACAATCAAACTGTAAGCTATAAAGTAACTAAACACAAAAATATAACCCAGACGGCCAAACCACCCCTACAGGCCAGTAGTAACGCCTTGTAACGCGTTCAGTTTGTATCGATAACGGTAACGCACCAGTATGCCAAAATTAAGTGCCTGAAGTAAAATCCGAACTACAGTAAGCACCATATTTCAGCCGAAAAAAATCTACTATAAATCCTAACACCATATCTTACTCACATTCAATCGAACACATGTCAGAATTTGAATGTGCCAACAGCATTCCAAAGAACATGCAATTTTATATTGTCCGGCATTTCACGAAGCTCCCCAAATAGGGTCCTGGCTTGGGTCCTTGCTCAACGTGGGAGACACGAAAATGAAGTTGTTTTGAAAGTGTTTGGGATTACTCTGACCGAGGAATGGTTGTCAAATAGGAAATCATATAATAACGGTGGTGAGAGTTGGGGTGAAAGCTGTTTTAAGATGATGCCAGGCGATAGTCAGTCCAAAATGGTAGTAATCGCCGGAGACGCGACGGTTGGAAACTGTCAAAACTGTTCTGTTTTGCATCAGGTAAGATCATCTTTCTTGACTGAAAAGGCAGCTAACTTAAAAGTTTTTTTTTCAACAGGCAGAATATAAATAATTTACGATTGTTGTAATATGTTTCGTGTGTTCAATATGTTGAAAATAATGAATTCCCCTGTGCGTTTTTGTCTTGTTTCTTCCCGGTTGTTATTACAGAGTCTGACCGAATATGTGTCGTCATTTCTGGCACTGAAGCAGAAAATTACGGTCTCTGAGTGAGTATTAACACCTGACAATTGACATGGAGAAACTACAGCCAGACAGTTGGATACTCGAATTATCACACCACTCACTATTCAGAATGAGAACCAGCTTGGATTGGCCAAGTATATTTAAACACACAAGGAATTTGACTCCGGTACAGAAGCTCTCAATGTGGCTTGTAAGGCAACAAGACAATTTGAATAAACAAGTAAAATGTGTGCATTCAAAATAGGAAATATGTGCAATTAAATAGGAAAGAGAACAGGAAAAGGAGACTGTAATATATTTGATTAGATTCAGCTTTATTGTCATTACTCATGTACAAGTACAAGACAACGAAATACAGTTTATGCAAGTGCAATAACAGCAGTGCAGTATCTACAGTCTGTACAGTCAGAACTAATTTACCAATGGACATGTACAATTGATATTTACAGTAAGATATGTAGGGTAATGTACAGTATACAACAGACTGATTTAAATTACAAGTAATGGATAAGCTTATAGAACACTAGTGCAATGGGATGAGATGGAATAAAACAGTGCAGAATAAGAAGATAAACAATAAGTTACATGAGTGAACAGTTCAATTGATGTAAATAGTGCAAAGATAAATATATAGTATCTGCATATGTAGAGCAGTATTCTGTGAGTATGTGCAAATTACCAGATCACTTCAGTATTACAGGTAACAGAAGTGTATTGCATTAGTCTCAGGAGGAGAGATGAGAAGGGGTGAGGTGTGTGTAGTGGTATAGAGTAGGGGTGGGCAATTCATTTTTACAAAGGGCCACATGAGAAACCTGAACTGTGTTGGAGGGCCGAACCAAGATAACTTCCATCCATCCATCCATTTTCTTCCGCTTATCCGGGACCGGGTCGCGGGGGCTGAAGATAACTTGATTCTGCTCAATATTTATTATCTCCCATTGTAAAAAGCAGTAAATTATATGTGTTGATTAGCTGCTACTGGTGATCAGAAGAATAAGCATATTCTGTAAATATATATATAAATATATGAAATTGTGGTGTAGGTTAAACAACAAAATAGAAGTAATAAACAGTAAAAACAAACATTACATCACAGTTCTATTTCACATAACACTGAAAAGGTGTTTTGCAGTATGTTAAAGATATGCATTTTCAGTTCATTTTACTTGTTCAGTGAGAGAAATCCAGTCTGAGCGGTGATCATCACTGATAGAGGATCTGTATCTGGATTTGTTGAACTTCATCACTGAAAATGTTTGTTCACATATGTAGGTAGATCCAAAGATTTCCTGCGATGTCCTCAACCCTCCTCCTTACACTGCGTCAGGAGAGGGGCACGTTCTCATACGCGCCCTTTTTCTCCGAGCATATTAGTGCTGCAGAGTCCAACAAACACTCTTTAATAAACTCTCCGTCAGAAAACGGCTTATTTTTTCTGCCGATTTTGTGGGATATGACATAACTTGTCTTGAAAGCTGCATCTCTGGGTGTGGAAAGTTTTGTAAAAAGTCTTTGTTGGTTATGCAGTTTCACTAGCAAAGCATCCGACTCTCATGCGCGCTCTTCATCTGATAAGTTCTTGTATTTCTCCTCATGCTTGGTCACGTAGTGGCGATTCAAATTGTAATCCTTGAACACAGCGACCTGTGTACCACAAACTAAGCACACCACTTTACCTTTGACTTCTGTAAACAAATACTTTCCAGTCCATGTCTTGTTGAAAATGCGGCATAGCATGAACAGCATAAATATTTTTTCATTCATGTTCTGATTGATGGACCTCACGCGGGCCGGTCCAAAGGCCGGATGCGGCCCGCAGGCTGTAAAATGCCCAGGTCTGGAATAGAGGAAGGCAGTGGGGGGTCAACGGGGGACAGAGTTCAGTAAGGAGACAGCTGTGGGGAAGAAGCTGTTCCTAAGTCTACTGGTTTTGGTTCGGAGGCTCCTGAAGCGCCTCCCAGAGGACAGGAGGTCAAACAGTTAGTGAGCAGGGTGACAGGAGTCCTTGAGAATGCTGCGAGCAGGTCAGAGACAGTGTTCCCTGTGGACACCCTCAATGGCTGGAAGTGGTCTTTGTGATGCGTTGGGCAGTTTTCACCACCTGCTGCAGAGCCTTCCCTCGGAGACAGAGCAGTTTCTATACCAGACTGTGATACAGCTGGTCAGGATGCTTTCAATGACACAGCAGTAGAAGTTCACCAGGATATATGCACATTGTGGTAGAAGAGTTTTGAGATTGATGTATGCAGTGGTTATATTTACAATTTATTGTATTGGGGTGAATGCTGTAACCTATTATATAACAATCTGGAGCTGAACATGTTAAAAACAGTGGAAATGATTGTAGTTTTTAGGAGGAGCCAGGAGACTCCAGTGGACAGTCAGGACTGCAGGAAGAATCATAGGTGCCAGCTTGCCCCTCCATGGAGGACCTGTACACCTCACAGGTCAAAAGGAGGACAGAATGGGTTTCTGCAGACCCCTCACACCCTGGACACAAAGTGTTTAAACTCCTCCCCTCAGGACGGCGCTACAGGTCACTGTGCACCTAAACAACCAGACCCAAGGACAGTTTCTTCCTCTGTGCCATTATACTTATGAACAGTTAATCTATGTTTTGCTTTTTTTAACTTGTGTGTATATATTCTGTTTTTATTGCTGTGCACATCGGCGGTCATTGGGGTGGAGTCAGATTCCCTGTGTTTTTGATAATACTTAGCATTAAAGTTTATGCTATGATATGTTAGTATGTGAGGGGTCTGCAAAAATCTTCTCTGCCCTTCTCTTGACACATGAGGTGTATAGGTCCTCCATGGGCGACAGGTTGGATTCCATGATTCTTTCTGCACTCTGAACTGTCTGCTGCCCCCGCGACCCGGTCCCGGATAAGCGGAGGAAAATGGAAGGATGGATGGATGGATGAAAAATAATTTGAGGAAAAAACTCATTATGGTTTCTAGCTGAATGACTGAGATCTCTAAAAGAGAATATTTAGGCTTACCAAGAAAATTGACTCTGGCTTTTGAAAAAGGGGTGACTCCATAATGCTAAGTTAATAAAAAAAAACTCAATTATCTAATTATTCCAGTGTTTCCTTGATAAATGGTTTGAGAATTGGTATAGATGAATAGTATTATGCTGAAACAAAATGTAGTTATGGTATATTAGGCTGTTTGTGTTGATCATTATGATGCTCTAAAGTTTACAAGCAGCTGTAACCTGTCTTTGAAAGCCAAGTATCAACCAGCAATATGAATGTACTGATACTGGATCAGGACATAGTTGCTGTTTGAAGAAGAGTTGCGCACACAAACTACACAGACAAGCTTGTATTCTGTAATGTTGCAGCAAGTGGATTAAGACATTTGTGTCCTTACTATGATTATTTTGCAGTGACACAGTCCGACTTCAACAACAGCTGGAAGAGCTGCAGATCAGACTGGTTACTCTGGAGAAAAAGGCTGCAGACTATGAATTGGTGCAAGCAGAACTGGAGGAGAAGAAGGTATATACTTTCTCTGTACAATTATATTCAGTATTATTATTATTATTACATTAGTTTTGGTGCTAATATTGTCTCTTAAATTAGTACAGCACACTAGAGCACAAATTTAGCCTATCTCTGGACAAGTTTCCCGTGATTTTTAAAACTTTTTTTTTGTTTTCACACAATCAAACCCTATAATATTGGTGCTTTAGGGTGCCCTTGAGGCCTATGGACAGGTGTCTGAAGCAATGGAAAAGCTGAAGCAAGAAAACAGCAAGGCAATGGCAGAGTAAGAGATGGTACCAGTTTTCATTATAACACTGTAGATAATGGTATTTATGGTAAAGCATGTACTAATATTTTTCCCATCTCTCAGAAATAAGAAGTTTGAAGAGCAGCTAAAGAATGTGAAAGGTACTTTGAATTCACACGCTGTAACTTTTACCAGGTACCTAATTTGAAAGTAACTGAAAATACAGTTTCTCAAATGCACCCCTAATTTTGTATCAAACTGTCTTAGAACTTGTGGAAAAGCAAACACTTGAAAATGCACAGTTGAAGAGGGAAAAGGCTGTGATAGAAAATGACTTGCTGAAGGCACAGGTAAGCAAGAAAGTGCTTAAGTATACTTAAGTCATTTGAAGTGGAAAGTCAAAACTGACAATAAATGGACTATTGTTCTCAGGAGTTTTATACTGTACATATGTGTTAAAATGTAGCTCAGGAAAAACTAATTGTGTGCGTTTGTTTTAAACCTCTACAGACATCATTGAAGAAAACTCAGACACAAGCAGATCAGGTTGAAAAACTTATAGAGGAAAACTCCAAGATGACAAGCATGTAAGAACTTACGACATATGGTTTCATAAATTGGAGACACACCTTTTATTTTTTTGTGTTATTTGTTATGAAACTTTAATTACCTTTTTGCTACATTATGACTGTTTATGGACAGAATTTTTAAAAATCACTGAAACTAAATTATGCTAAAAGGTTCCATGATGTTTCCTCATCCACAGAAAGGACATCCTTGAAAATAAAGTCCGACTGCTCGAAGGTTGGTATTGAAAATAACTTTCAGCCAGTGTAGGAAAATATGTTCACTTGGATGTCTGTGATTAGTGTTTCTTCGACAATGGTGTCTTAGTTATACTTAGGTTTGTCCTTATTTCAGACTTGGTTTGCAAACAGAATCATCAGTTATCCCAACTAACCAAAGAGAAGATCTTGCTAGAGAGGAATATTGATGATCTCCAGGTGCAGTAATAACCTTAATAAATTATACGTTTGGGGAAAATATTTCTTGTACTGTTGAACTGACATTTCTTTAAATATAATTTCAATTCTTTTGCAGGTGAGACTGATGAAACTGGAAAGAGAAAGGAGTAAAGGTAAATAAGGAACAGTTTCATTTACAAATACAATGTTACTATGATGCTTATTTTTCTGTGATCTTGTTGTCTCAAGAAGCCTGATTTTCAGTAAACAAAAATATAATCTTCTAAATGACCACATTTTACACCTTTTTTTAAGAATTTGGCCTTTTTATTTTATTTTTTTTTACACTAACAGCAGTAGTCCATTTCTGACTTAAAATTAAATTAAAACAAACAATATCCGAATTACTTCTCAACAGAATATAGGAGCACATCAGCTCAGGCAAATGCACCTGAGGAGCCTAAAATTGACAAAGGTTGGTAATCTCCTGCATTAACAATAAAATAAGACTGTTGTTATTTTTGCAGTGTGTAATTATTTATGTCTGGTTTCTAGAAAAGGTCCGGACGCTACTCGAGGATTTGTGGGCATGTGTGGAACCTCAGCAGCAGTCAGCAACTCTGCTTCATTTACATGGTGAGACATCATTAGGCAAGTCAGCTTTGCTGCAACTTTTAATTAGTGCCAGTGATTTCTGATTTTAGTTTTATTTTGTTTAAACTTATCACAATTTTACCGCAGAAAAGCATGTAATCATCTCTTTTGTTCTTGTCATTTTAGACGTCTGCTCTAATTCCGGACAAGTTCTACCCTCCTCTCCACAAAAAAGTCCTCTGAGTAACATATCCCAGTCTGCTTCTCACAAGATCAGTGAATCCCTAAGTCCCCCCATGCAGCTAAAGGCCACTTGTAGGCAGTTGAAAACTTCTCCGGGTGTGGAAAAAGCCATCAGATACCAAGACTCTCTGCAGTCAAGCAGTGCCAAGAAACAAACGGACACTCCCAGAAAGAGCAAGTGTTTGTCAAAGGCACACAAAACTGAGGAGCTATCTATTGAAGTAGATGTTAAGGAGATATTGGAAATGTTTAAACCAATGCCTCCCTGCTTATCACCACTGTCGGACTTGGTGAGAATTTGGTTGTTGTTAATGTGAATAATTTGGTTTTTGTTTTTCATCACTGGCTGATATACAGCTTTCCTTGTTGATATTTATAATTTATATTATGCATGTTGCAGATTTTCTTTAATAAATAATTCATGTGTTCATGAGCATTCACAGATGACATCATGGCCCTCTTGTTTCTTTCAGTATTCAGAGATGGAATCTATGGAGACGGACGATGCTGAAAAGGAAAACCATTCCAAACCCTGTGATCAAAATGCTCCTCTTCAACAAGTGGAGCCCTTTCTCATTACACACTCTGTGTCAAGCCACTGTCCAAAATCTTCTGCACTACCAGCAGCCGAGACTGTGGACTTAACAATGGTCACAACAACTGAAGTGGAACATGTTTCTTATCAAATTGACTCCAAAAACTCGGGACAAAATGAGCTGAGTGTCATTGCTGACGGGAAGAACAAAAGCAGTACAGATGGTGAAGAAATGTATCTTCAAAATAACATGCAAACTGAGCATGAGCCAGCAACTGTGCCTTTAGTATCATTATCTTCTTCTTCTACGTCAGACGTAACACATTTGGTTGAGATTGTTTCATTAACAGCTGAAAGTCAAGCACTATCCTGCAGTGTAAATCCCAGTAGCGGTGATGCCAATAGCATCTCTGAAACTGAAAATGCTTTAAGAGAGCCAAAGGAAGATCAGCCAGAGATTATAACAAAGATGGATGTAGATGCATGCCCCAGTGATGATACTGGTGTCAAGACACTTGCTCCTTATATTGAAGAGTCACATGGACAAAGTGATAACTCTGTAATCTCTGCAGAAACTGGAGATGTACAGCTAGTTGCATCATTCGTTGACTCCGTGAAAGAGACTGAGGTTGCAAATGCAGAAAATGGTTCAGAAGTTGAAAAGAATCATCAGGTTTCTGGAAGTTTAGGACAGGGCACTCAAGATGATACGGTCTTGAAGCCACAAGAGGATGCAGGGTTTCTTGGCAAGGACTTAAAAATGGAAGAAGATGCCCCCTGTTCATCAAGCTCTGACTGCATCACTAGTGTCTCAAATATAAATTTTGAAACGGTGTGCAAAAGTGATGCATCCATTAAGCTCAGAGATGAAGAAAGTCATGAGGCACAAGGAACTGGAAGAGTCAATATGACAGCTTCTCACTCAGAGTCAGATATTGATATTAGAACTCAATCCCCTCAAAAATCTTCACTGCTAATGAAGGAAGGTGTGGATAAAGCCCTTGCTGGGCAGGAAACTAGTCAATCACACATTGAAATGCCTTCAAAAAAAGATGCAGACATGGAGATCTTGAACAGTGAGATAATGACTGATCATGGGCCTTCCATTTCTGACTTCCCACAGGAAATAACTGTTAACTGTGAAACTTTGAAAGAAAAGCCACATTTTCTGTGCAGGCAGTTGAGTCCTTCGTGCCTGTTAGCTACTGTAAAACTGCAGGCTTTGGAAACTCACCCAAACCCAGGAGCATTGAATGTTGATGGTAACGCTGAACATATTTCAACAAAGCAAGAAACTCTACAGCCTGTGCATAATTTAGTGGAAGAAAGTGTCATTGAAGACTTACCTCAGAACCCAGTAGACAAAGGTAGTACTAATTTGTTAATTCAGAATGGTGCTGCCAAAAATGGACAAAATAAATGTTTGGACTTGTGTCCAAACGTGCTTGAAAAACAAACCCCACATGTGAACAAAGAGGAAGAAGCCAACCCAGCGGCAGGTCCAACTACAGTTCAAACACCAGACTGCATAGGAGAAGTTCGCGCTGAAATGGGTGAGCCACTTCCGCCTATGCTAACCCCTCTGAGCACCCCTCAAAAGACAGGCAAATCAATTAGTCCTATGCAGGCTGTTGGAAAACTCTGTTTTCCCTCACCCATGGATAGATTGGCTTCTCCTACCACTCCTGTCCAGGCCCATTTGACACCCAGTGGTCAGCACACAAGTTCTTCATCCCTAAACAGTCCACTTCCTCCAAACGGTGTCCCTTCATCACCACTTCAGTTTGGCTCTGCCACTCCAAAGCATGCCGTGCCGGTCCCAGGTCGCCTGCCCTTGACAGCATTAAATTCTCCCCCTTCTTCTTCCTCCACTCCATCTCAGGAAAACTCCATGAGGATTCTTGACACCATGTATCCAGAGCTCTCAGCCCGTGCCCGAACTCTTAGCATTCTCAGAGGGAATGTCAATCTCAGCATTTGTTCATCGGAGAACGGAATATTACCCACAACAGCTGACAGTCAGATATCTGGCTTTAAAACTATCAACTCCACCTCAACAGCATTCACCAAGACCAGAGGAGAAAAAAGACAAGCCATCAGTTTTCCTGAACCAAAAAACACCAAATGTGTTAAACTTGATAGCTGCTCTCCTACTGGCAGTCACAATCAAGTACCTTCCTCCTCAAACGGTGGAGAGGAAACCACCTCACCTCATACTCCCGGGCAAAAACAGCTCCAAAATGAGGCAACCTCTCAATCCCTAGAAGGTGGAAAAACCGCTGAGCAGAATCTTATAATCAGTTCTTTGAAGAAGATTGAAAATCAGTGCTTTGATCTGTTGCCTGTGATTCAGAGCCACCTGTATGTCGGTAACCTTCCCAAAAAGCCTGTCTTGAGAGAAGAGGAGCAGGAGGTCATCTCCGAGTTTTGCCAAAGCAGCTTGGTTAGTATGCTAGTTTGAGGTGCTTCTGTATTTACAGTAACTCTTTCACTCTTACCGTGGGTGGGGTCTGCAGGCGGGGGTACAGTAATTGAAACTAGTATTTTCAGGTATCTCTGTGAACTCCAGACAAGTCTGGTGTAATTTTGCCTTACTAATAATAAAGGCGGAACTTAAAGGCTGTGTATGAAAACTGACAGAACAAGTTGGCTTTCAGCTAAATGTCCAGATTCATATGTAAATGCTATATTCGCTTGCTGTAAGAATTATTAGAACATGTTCATGGCATGTATTAACTAGAGGCAGTATCTCTAGAAAGCAATAAGAAAGAGGATCTAGTAAACAAGAAGTAGACTGTAGTGCTACAGCGTTTCTTTTCCTAAAGTATATGTTCTTATTGACAGGATTTGTACGTGGTGACAGTGTGAATATACTGTCTTTGTTCACTTGCTACAGTTTAAATAAGAGGAAAAAAGAAACCCACTCATCTATAGGCAGTCTTTGCATGAAGGCAGTAACAAGTGACTGTGTAACCACAGTGGCTCAAAAAAAGCAAGCAAATGGTTGTCACAAGTAAAAGCATATAAAGACAAAGGACTTCCATTAACTAGTGAGATGAAGTGTGTTGTTTTCAAATGTCAGGTTGTTTTCGTGTGAAATGAATTCATTTTCTATTTTCTCTCTTTTCTCTTCAGGCCAGAGCTGATGATATGATTTTGGCAATCTTGAACAAAGTGAAAAGGGAGGGAAAGGATCTGAGCAGACACTATATGCAGGCCCTTTGTAGGGTCTACACAGGGATCTGTAGACAGAAGAGCGACAGGGAGAAGGCTCACATCCTAGCTTACAGCATTCTTGCAGAAGGTTGGGAACTGATTCCATACTTATACTCTCTTTTGTTGCACTCACACAGATGTTTTAAAAATATATACACTGTCAACTAAGTGAAAGGCAGAAGTAAATATACATGGGTTTTATAGAGATTGGAGGAAACCTGCTATATTTTATAGATGATAGTTAAATGGAAATTAGTTGTTATGGTGTGCTTAGCTTTTTTTTAAAGCTTAACTGAGCTTAATCGCATTAATGGTTTTTTTAAACAATTTGTTTCTCTTTATTCTGTCTCGTGTACTGCAGATTTTCCAGATTCTGCTAAGCTGATTTTGTTTATGGTGACAACATGGCCAAGTATTCTCTCACACGGTAGTTCTCTGTGCCAGGCCATACATGCTGTCACCAAACTGAAAGCACAGCAAGAGCTTCTCAGCTGCCTTTCAGCATTCCTTGGTTGGGAGAAGGTATTTTTAGGAATGCACTTCTCCATTTATTGCATTGTGTATATTATTTAAGTGATATCAGGCTTATCTGGCATGGCTCCAATGATCAGAATTTAATGTCCTCAGTTTGTCCAGTCACACACCTTTGTTGCATGTCATTTGCCATCTTAGTCTCTTCTTGCATTTCTTGTCATCTCTCCTCTGTGGTCTTAGCTTTGAGTCAGTTGTCTTTATCACAACAACTCTTTGTGCCCCCATCTTCCCTTCTGTGTCTTTCCAAATATAGTAGAGTGGACCCTCTAAAACCTCATTTTCCTGTGTCTCTGCAGTGTCCTCCCTTTGACATAGACCAGCTGATCTCCAGAACACTGTCTGATATTCAATCAGGGTCAAAACTGTCTTTCACAAAACACAATCGCTATGGGAACGACCTAGGGACTGAGGCTTGGGAGCATGTCTTCACACTACACCTCCTTTGTACCCACAGGAAATGGAAGTGGACCTATGAAAATATATTGGGGTGTGTGTGTGTGTGTTTATGACCTCCTGAGGTTCTTTCATTAGGAGTTGCTTCTAAAGAAAATACATTTAAAATATCATGTTGAACTCAGTTATAGAGATGATCTGTTCTTCAATCAAGCAACCCATGCACCTGTGTTAATCAGTTTGTTTTTTTTGAATTGACAGGAAGGAGTTGTGGCCGTTAATGAACACTTGGGTGACACAGCCCAGAGATCAACAAGCAGCGATCTCTGATATAACTGTCGCCACTGTACTTCGACTCATAGGTCAGTTGTTTTACTTATTTACTTGGGTATTAACCACAGTCTGAGTGAGAATTTCATCTTTTTCTTATAAATAGGACGCCTCAGTCAAATGGGAATCAAAGAGAGGAGCATTTCTTCCGTGTTAACTGTGGCCAACATCATCAACACATTTGGTAGACACGGAGAGGCTGAAGGTATGAAATATGAGAAACCTTGGAGAATACACAATGATTCCGTGGGGCTGTAACTAATACTTTTGCTGAAAGTGTTTCTTATTTCCCCTCATGCCTTTTATTGATCTTTTTCATGTGTTCATGCATGTGTGCCTATGTATTTAAGCAGATTTGCATATTTATATGCTACTGTTTGTATTTATTTGTCATAATTGTGCCAAATAAACCGAAATAAATCCTGATGTGAAAGTGGATGGATTCCATTTAAAGAATTCTAATCTCCTCATGTCGTCCCTCTGCAGGCGTGCCATGGGAGGTCCAGTTAGCAGCTGTCTACTGTATCTATGACCTGTCTCCCTGCAACCCCAAACAAGCCCTGGACGCAATCGCAGGGTGGAGAGGAGAGACGTCTCAGAACGTCCCTCCTGCTGTCACCAGCTGCATTAACCAGTTAGCCTCTATCTGCAGACAGGTCAAGAGCTGAGATAGACAAGCCGTTCAAAAACAAAAACATGCTTGCACCTCAAAGTTCATTTTAATTTTCTTTCTGGCAACCCACAATAGAACTGTTAACATTTGAGTACAGAACATACACTGATAGGTTTTGTGCTCTTCTAATACAGGGTGGCTGGAGATTCATAGTAAGTGAACAATAAAAGACAGTTACAGACTTCTTTAACATTTTTTTTAATTTGCATTTCTACTCAAAACAAAACTGTTATTTAAATGTTAATGTTCTCTGATTTTGTAGCAGTTTTTTTTTTTTACAAAAAGGCATGTAAAATATGGCTTGCTGAATTTCTTTTAGCTGTCCACCCCTGCAATAATTTTACCAGCACAGCTCTAGGCCTTTTTGCTATACTCAGGTATTGCTCTAAATATTGTAAAGTATGTACATGTATTCAAGTGTTTGTAAATATCAGGCGTTATTATATATCAGGTTACTGTTTGTATGAATGAAAAATAGGTATAAAGTTTCAGAAGTTATTTAAGATTTTCTAATTAAATTTTTTAAAATAAGATGGTTTTGCTGTGATGTGTCGTTGCTCGATTCCTCTCAAGGTTATATATTACAAAACCGTTAAATTAGGCCACCCTCCAAATGTATACAGTGACCAATTCGCGTACAGTATATCAGCTTTGTGTGAGACAGGCCATTTGTGAGTAAAACAGCTGTTTGTGCATTCTGCTGTATTTGCCACAACAACCTTAGTTATTTAAAAAATATATGACGAATGTACTAATGATCCTGATGAATCACTGCTACTATAAGACATTATCCCACCTGATCTTATCTATGTAAAGCTATAAAATACATGGATCCACCATTCCCTGAGCCAGCCATCAAAGTAATAGCCCAAACCACGTTTGAAACTAAGTGAAAAACTTTATTGTTATTATTATTCATGAAATATAACCTTAAAGAAGAAGGCTAATACTGTATGTTAACTTTATAAACCAAACACACGTAATAGAAAATAAATAGAAATAAGTAGAACAAATAGAATAAATAAATAGCTTCTTAAAAGGAGACCAGTTTTAGAAAGAAGTTTGAAATAAATCCTTAAACAGAGAAATGCCCATATTATCAACAAAGGAAATACACCCCGCCACCCCAACACCATGTTTTTTGGAAAGTTTGTGAGTTTTATTTATTTTTATTTTCATTTTGACCTGCTTTCTATTGCTATTTTGTTGTCCATCTTTATTTTGCCACTGACTCCAAGAGCTTGTGCACAAATAATTCCTATGCACCTGTACTGTGTGTAAAACCTCTTGAATCATGAGTCATGCTCTCTTTGGGGTCTGGTTTGATATGATCTTTCAAGAGGGGAAGATGTTCTAATTGCTTCCGTTTTTCCACCCGACATGAATGCATCTATGTAGTTGGCTTGACGCATGGACGCATGTCATGGAGCCGAGGGGTGTGTCCAAGGATTTAAATTCCTCAGACATGCGTACAGGCCGTTCCGTGCTGCTAGGTGCGCCATGTTGGCTAGCTGAATGGGGAGTGGAGTTGGGCAAGCTGCTTGAAAAAGCAAACTAGTTTTGGGACATGAAGCACTTTCAGATAAATTAAATCGACGCAGTAGGATTTATCTGTTTCCCTGATTGGTTGCCAAAATTGCGCGCCATTTCCCCGCGAAGGGTTTCTCGGTAACCTCGAGTCCAATGGATCCCAGGACCACTTGGATCCAGCCGGAGCAGAAGGGACCTGCCCATTCCGTGTGGATGTACATTTGGAAAACCTCTCAGGGAGCAAAATCTGGCATCGACAACCACCTTCACCACCAACACAGCTTTGTAGCGCAAAATGCAAACTCCACGGACTCGAACGGCGAAGACTGTACAAATTTAGCGCCGTCACCGGGACTTGTGTTTGGGAAACTGCCGGAGGGGGACAGCGGAGAGAGGGGAAGTGTCCGGAGGAAGGGCTCGTTGTCTCCGTCCTCATCCTCTCTGGACTCGGAGGTCGAAATGAGCTCCTCACCCTCCGGCTCCTGTCTGCAGATCGACAGTCTGAACGTTGCAGAAGAGGCCAGTCGGTTTCTGCACTACGGCGAGCACGAGTTGAACGAGAAGCATCTGAGACAGCAGCAGCAGCAGCATCAGCCCCCTCCGCCTTCTGCCAGTGCTCAGCAGTACCGCTGCAGCATGCTACAGTCCGTCGGCCACTCCCCCGCGGGGCTGAAAAACCAACACGGTAACAAGCACCGCCACAATCAGGCGCATACACCCGGCCGCAGGAGGCATCTGAACAGGGCCAACACTTTCCACGGCATCAACCCGCTGCTGGCCCACGGCTGCAATGGACACCACGGGCATTCTTCTTGTAGCCTGTGGAAAACCAGGCGCTACAGCTCGGGCATCAATGGGTGAGGAGATACGAAGATGTTTTACTTTTTTTAGAGTCATAGAAAAGTGTGAGGTCGGCTCTGAATGAAGTTCCTCCAGCTCATCCAACAGGAACAGCAGTGTGTGAATTTGAAGGGTGAATATACAGTAATAATGACAAACATGGAGACTTGTGCTTTTCAGTATGAATGTGAATCTAATTTTTAGGTCCTTTAAAACACAGTCCATCAGAACTAAATATGTTGTTACCTGATGTTTCTGCTTGGATTCATGTTTATCAGTGAGATCTGCATTAACAGCACAGATGTATTAAATGCTGAAATTAATTTTTACATGCTTGTTGTGTGTGTGTGTGTGTGTGTGTGTGTGTTACCTTTAGTATAGTTTTCAGTAGGCCCAGGCCCTATACTTGACATTTTATTTGTTTTTATAGTACATCCAGATATGCAGTCTATATTCATACAGTGCTCACCTTGTTTTCTTTGTTGTGTATCAGTCTATATTCCCAGTGTCCCAATTCTCTCGTTTCCCTGCAGTCTTCATGAAGAGATAGTGGACTTTTTTAACTTCATGTCACCGCGACCAGAGGAGGAGACCATGAGAAGAGATGTTGTGAACAGAATAGAAAGTGTCATCAAAGATTTGTGGCCCACAGCACGGGTGAGTGTCACTAGGCTAGACCGTTTGGCTACAGAGGACACAGGAGCTCTGGGCACTGTACTCCACTCTGGCCTACAAAGTACACTTTACAAGGTTCTGCCCTGTCTTTATTTAGAGTTTTTTTTTATTTGAGGTCCACCACAATGCTTAGCTCTCGAGGCCATGCTGTTCTGTACCTCTTTACCCTATACATTTCTTTGTATCATCCTACATCAAGTAACAAACTCAGACCCTCCTCTGCCAGTGCTGGATAAGGCTTAGGTTAATGCTTGCATCTTCAAACATAGATGACTCTGTCATGTCCATAACTCTGTACTGCAAGTCATCTATTAATGCTAGTTCTCTGAGCAGCAGTAAGCTAGATGGTTTAGACATTTTTGTGACCTGATCGAGCTAGTGATCATGGCCGTGTCAGTCAGTCAGAACAGTTTGCAAGTGCGAGAGTTTAAACATGACTCGGCTGTAAAGGTGGACCAGTGAGTAGCTGAGTCTTGGTGATAAAATCCCAGCCAGCCTTTGTGGTCTCATTTAGCCTCTTGTTAGCAGCCACCTTTTTAAGACGTCTCAGAACATAAAAATCACAAGTGTGGTATTTACTGGTCTATTTTATTTCATAGAAAAAAAATGAAAATGTACTGGCTATGTGTTGATCACTGATCTTATTTCAAGCCGCTAACCAAAACCCATTCAAAAAAAACCTGTTGACTTCAGGGTGAGTGAACCGGAGGTGCAAAAATGCTGACTCGGTTCTGGGTTTTAGGACTGGGTACTACAGCACTCTGTTGCCCCCCCCCTGTCAACAGATGAGCCACTGGTGTCAAAGGCACTGTAGTGTATACACTCATTTAAAAAAAAAACAAAAAAACTCTGCTTTAAAAATGCACACAGTCGCTGGTTTAAAACAATCCACATGACACTGATTAACCCGGGGTTTGGCTTGTGCCGGCGCTCATGGTGCTGCAGTGACTTCAGTAAGCACTCACACTAGAGTTTTTGCCCATTTTATAAAAATGCCATTTGTTGTTTTGGGTTACTGAGTCAGACTGATGGGCAGAAGTGGTAGTTTTATTGTTTTATGATTAAATCTAGATCAATAATGTGGACAGTTGTCCAAATACTCTGAAGCCACAGAGCTTTTATTCCCTTATGAGTCGCTCTACACACTACACAAGTGAACCAGCTTCCACTAATTTGTTTGCACATTTTACATTATTACATAAGGGTTTTTATAGGAATTCCAGTTTTATAATTGTCTCTTCTTGATATTAATACAATTTATTTCTTGTATTGATTATTGTTTTCTCAGTTACTTTTGCAAATCTGTTATGTGCCCTGTAAATCGGGGATATTCTCTTGTATACTAAGCAGCCAGTGTGTCTGAAGGTTTAATGCACGTCCTCTATCTTGTTTGTCCACATCCAAAGTTACCCAGATGTAATCAGTATTTGTGTTGCATGTAATCCTAATATAACGGCGTTATAGAATTTATTGTTGTTCATATTTTTTTGGAGTTGACAAACGGTGAACTGCCAAGGAGACGTCCTACCTGGCCTCACTGTGAATTATTATTATTTTATTCTTCTACTTCTTCTGCTTCAATAAGAATTTTTTGTGAAGTTACTATAAAGACGTAAACATCCAAACTATGATTGACCTTGACGGTGTCTATTTTCACTGTGAGATGACAGTAAATTAGATATTTTTCCCCATGTTATCTCTCCTGTAGCTTAGCTATCTGTAATTTGGTGATTTATGTATCAAGTTACTAATACTGTTGGCGTCCTAATGCCTAATCAGGCCATTAGCATATTACCAGCGAGGAAGCTCACCCTTTTTTTGACGATGCTGTAGTCATAAGTGAGGCCTGGAGTTTGACATACATTTTTACAGAACAAATATCAATTTTATTATGTAAATATTGTATATCTTTACACCTCATAGGCTTGGCTAGCACAGTGGTGTCACAAAACTAATGTAAAAGGTTAATTGGGCAATGATGATTTTTTTTTTTTTCCCCCCACCTTTATTTTTTCCTGACCTGGTTTGTGTTCTTCAACCACTCACATCAGGCCCAATGTTTTGTTTTGGTTTTTCTTTTAAAGCAGGAGTATATACAAAGTAAAATGAAGTCAGAGTAGTGAGCGACACTAAGACGTTCTGCACAGTGCCCACTCCCCTCACAACCTACACATAGTTGACACATGATAATGGTTACAACTCACCTCATCCTGTCAGTATTAATTTGTCTTCTGCTCTGTAGGTGGAGATATTTGGCAGCTTCAGCACAGGTCTTTATCTTCCAACAAGGTAACACTTGTTTTTTTTTACTTCACTTGTATAGTCTGACCTTATGTGGGCTTCAGTGCAAATGAATTGGGAACACTATATTTGGTAGGGGACGTTTATGATCATTTTAGTCCGAGCTTCAGCAGCTCGATGCCAACGCAGTGGTCACAGTCGCTGCTCAGTAGCACAGTCAGAGATGGAAATTCAGATTTAACTTTTTTGTCATTTTGTGTGTGTACACAGTGCATTTTTTTTCAAGGCCTTGTTAGCGTGTGAATTACTGGATTAAGGATTTGAACAGTGTTTGTGGGGAAGACATTTCAACACATCTGTATAAATAAAGAGCTGTGGCAGCTTTGTTTGGAAATAACTCATCAGACTAGCAGTAATTATAGCAGTTTTTGGTGTGAGGAAGTAGGAAAGCTGATTAATACAATGACTATTTCAACATCACATTGTATTCACTTAATAGTTGCTCATTATTTTGAGCTAAACTCCATGATTAACAACATTCATTCATTCATTCATT